CTACCAACTGGTAGGGTGGAGGGTCAGAGAAAAAGAGGAAGACCCCCAGCGAGATGGATTGGCAAAGTGGCAGCATCAATGGGCTTTCAAGCATGGCAACAATTGTGAGGTTGGCCCAAGATCGGGCAGTGTTTCATTCTTCTGTGCATAAGGTAGCTGTGAGTCAGTACCCACTCAATGGCACCTAACAACAACAACAACAACAAACTGATAAGGAATGTAAGAGAATGTTAATTAGGCAACTTCCATGAATTGAGAGAAAACTACAGATGAAATCAAGGAAAACATAGACAAAGCGACAGAAAAAATTGGCAAACAAATTGACAAAATATTTGAAAAACTCAACAGATTGAAATTCAGAAGATGAACACTAAGCCCTCAGAAACAGATAATATGCTAAAATGGCAGAGAAATCGAATTGACTCCATGGAAAGCTGCATTACTAAGCTTGAAGAAATATGTCTCAATAATCATCTGCTAGAGGAGTAACCAGACAAAAGAACAACTACAACAAAGCTTAAGAGTTATATGTTGTTGTTAAGTGCTGTTATTAGGAGAACTAATAAGACTAGCCTCTGATTTCTCAGGAAAAAAACCATGCAGGCAAGAAGACAATAGAATGATATATATAAAACACTGAAAGAAAAAATTGCCAACCAAGAAAAACATAGCCAGTAAACGGTCTATCAAATATGGCAGCAAAATTAGGTCATTTTCAGACAAACAGAAATTTAAAGAACTTATAAAAACCAGACTCATTTATAAAAATTACTACAGGGAGTACTCTGGAAAGCGAGCCAACAACAGCAGACAACATCCTGATATATATGCCATATCCCCTAGACCCAACGCAGATATAGGTATGCAAAGTAAAGCAGACCAAAAAACTGAAAAGAGCAAACAAAAGATACAGCTGCAGCAACAACAAAACCATAAAGTAAAATAAGGGAATTAATCCAGTTAAAGAACTTTCAAATGAAGAGGAAATCAAGATTTCAAGAAAAAATTAAATATAAAAATAAACCTACTGTAACCCTGAAACCTAGATCAAGCCTTACTCCTAGTCATAGCCCAACCCTCATCCCCAACTCTAACCCTAGTTTGAGCTGTTGTTGTTGTTGTTAAGTGCCATCGAGTCGGGTCCGACCCATAGCGACCCTGTACAGGGTTTCCGAGGGTGTAAATCTTTACGGGAGTAGAAAGCCTCATCTTTCTCCCGCGGAGCAGCTGGTAGTTTCGAACCGCTGACCTTAAGGTTCGCAGCCCGATTCGTAACCACTACGCTACCAGAGCTCCTTAACTACTATGTTACTACCCTTGAAAAATGAGTTTGAGCTGTACTCTAACATTAAACGAAGTCTGGGTCAAGCCAAGACTGAGTCATAGTCCTAACCCTAATCGTCATTCCTTACTCCTACCATATTCCATCCTCCCACCAAAGAAAGCTAATTAGAGCTAAACATATTAATTCAGCATAGTCACAGGATGCAAAATAAACACAAAAAATCAGCTGTATTTCTATACACTAGCAATAAACAAGTTGAGAAGGAAATTACAATTCCATTTACAACAGCATACAAAATAATAAAATACCTAAGAATAAATTTAACCAAGGAACTGAAAGGTCTGTACACAAAATCTACAAAGCACTGCTGAGATTAATAAAAGAATACATGAAAAGACTTTGTTTTCATGCATCAGAAAAATTAATATTAAGATGGCAAGACTCACACCAAAGCAACCTACAAATTCAGTGCAATCCCCAGCAGCCTTTTTTATGCAGCAATGGGAAAATGGATCGTAAAATTCATATGGAATTGTAAGGAGCTCTGAGTAGCCAAAATTATTCAAAGTATTCAATTTCTCAATTACAAAACTTAACACAGTAATTAGAAGAGTGTGGCAGTAACACACAGATAGATACACACTGATCAATAGACTATAATTGAGAGTCCAAAAGTGAACCCATTAATTATGGTTAATTGATTTCCAACATGGAGAAAAAAGAAATCTTTTTAACAAATGCTACTGGGATGGATAGCCACATGCAAAAGAATTAAGCTGGACCCTGAGCTCATGCCATATATAAAAATTATTTCAAAATGGACCAAAGATCTAATTTTAAGAGCTAAAACATAAAACTCTTAGTTTAGTGTAAATCTTCAAGACCTTGGATCTGGCCATGGTTTCTCATATGACATCAAAAGCGTAAGCTACAAAAGAAAAAATAGATGAATTAGACGTCAGAATGAAAGACTTTTGTGCATGAAAGGGCACTAGAAAAAGAACGTGAGGAGACAACCCACAGAAGGGGAAAAACAGTTGCCAATCATCTATGTGATAAGGGTCTAGTATCCAGCACACATAAAGAACTCTTACAACAAAAGGCAAACAACCCAATTAAAAAAAGGAAAGAACTTGAGTAGGTGTTTTTCCAGAGATAGGAGTATACAACTACAAGGACGGCCAGCAAGCCAACAAAAAGATCCTCAGTCAACGTTTCTTGGGGAGCTGCAAATCCAGGTTCCACCTCATGTCAATGAGGACAGCCATCATGGAATAATGGACAAGAACAAGTGCTGGGCACAAGGAGAAAAGCTGGCACGTGGTGCCCTCACCATGGACGAATGTGATGTGACGAAACTGCTCTGGGACTAGTGGTGACGGTTCCACGACACTGTCAGTGTCCTAAATGCCATGGAATGGTATACTTCAAAACAGTTCGTTTTATTATGTGTGCTTCAGCAGAATTCAAAAATACAGATCTAAGAGTCAACCCATATCCCTTCTAAAACGAGAAAATCAAAAGGAGAAAATAGCTACGTGCTTGGCTCCTGTAAGGAAAGCATAATTAACAAGAAAAAGAACCAGAGGCTGGAGAGAACATATGAAAAGAATAAACGGAATCACTATTTTCCTTCTATTGTATGTGCAATATAGGAAAAAGCAAATGAGTGGGCATAATCTAATTCCATCAGTCCCTGTATCCTTAAGAACTAGGATTCTTGAAGGATCAAGGAGCTAATACTAATTCTTGCAATGGATCAGAACATATCAAATATATAAGTTTATCATAACATTAAATAAAAACCAGCTACTTTAGGAGCTCTGGTAGCGTAGTGGTTACGAATCGGGCTGCGAACCTTAAGGTCAGCGGTTCGAAACTACCAGCTGCTCCGCGGGAGAAAGATGAGGCGTTCTGCTCCCGTAAAGAATTACAGCCTCGGAAACCCTGTACAGGGTCGCTATGGGTCGGAAACGACTCGACGGCACTTAACAACAACAACAACTTTTAGAAAATAGGGAGTCAATTAATTATCTTGAAAACTGGCAAATAAAGGAAGCGAATCAAGCATGTATTCTGCCTTTCTAATTGACGCTTTGAGTTATGGTGTTGGAGGAGAATATTGAAAGTGCCATGGGCTGCCAAAAGAACCATTAGATCTTTGTTGGAAGAGGTGCAGCCAGAGTGCTCCTTGGAGGCCAAGATGGCCAAACTTCATCTCTCATACTTTGGACATATTGTCAGGAGGGAGCAGTCGTTGGAGAAGGATATCATGTTTGGTAAGGTGGAGCATCAGAGAAAAAGAGGAAGACCCCCAGTAAGATGGATTGGCCAAGTGGCAGCATCGATGGACTCAAGCGTTGCAACAGTAGTGAGGTTGGTCCAGGATCAGGCAGTGTTTCGTTCTGCTGTGCATAAGGTCGCTATTAGTCGGTACCGTCTCGATGGCACCTAACAACAACAACATTAATGTGAACTCTACCACTAGCTAACCAAACGGTAGCTGAGGGCAAGCGTTTCTGAAGAAATGATAGATCACCAGATTACAATCCCTCAGAAATGCCAAGATCAACAGCTCTTAAAGACAATCCGTAATTACTTTTGTGTGGTTTTTATAAAACTCTTTTTTTTTTTTTTTTTAAAATATGACGAATGTAGAGAAAGTTGACATTAGTTATGAAAGGAGAAACAGAATGGGGTAGAAGAAATTCTTAAACCAATACTGGCTGAGAATTTTCTATAACCAATGGAAAGATCCACCTATTCTCTTAATTCCAGATCCATGAATTAAAAAAAACACACACACATATATATAACATATATTTTAGGACATATATATATATACATGTTGTTGTTAAGTGCCGAGTTGGTTCCGACCCATAGAGACCCTGTATAGGGTTTCCAAGAGTGACTGGTGAGCCTGAACTGCCGACCTTGTGCTTCAAACTGACTTTGTAGTCCAGTGCACTAACCCAGTGTCACATCAGGACTCACTCACACTCTCTCACTCTGTGTGTGTGTGTGTGTATAGTTGTTGTTAAATGCCATCGAGTTGGTTCCAACCCATAGAGACACTCTAGAGGATTTCCAAAGAGCGACTGGGGTGAGCTTGAACCACCAACCCTGCAGTTCAAACTGACTTTGCAGTCTAGCACATTAACCCATAGCGCCACACCAGGATTCCATATATATACACGAGGACTTCAAAAGTTTGCGGAAAAATTCAATGATCTTTTCATTCCATTGTCTACAAGTGTTTTGAAGCCCAATCCACACACACCCCAGCCCCCTACCCACTACCACAGAGCCGATCCTCCTCATATTGACCCTGTAGAGGGTTTTTGAGGCTGAAAATTTTTACAGGAGCAGAAAAGTTTCATCTTTCTTCCTCAGAGTGGTTGGTGGGTTTGGACTGCTGACTTCGCAATTAGTAGCCCAGTGCTTATCCTACAGCACCACCAGGGCACCTTTTTACACACACATTTTTACAGACACATACATGAGGGGCTTCAAAAATTTTGTGGAAAAATTTCATCATCTTTTAATTACATTTTCCTCAAATTTTTTAAAAGCCCCCTCATGCATGAACATAGTAGGGTTCACTCTGTTGAAGGAATGACTAAATGGGTTCCCCAAATTCTATAGAAGCTTCTTCTAAATGAGCCCACAAAACTGGGGGCTAAGTAGGGGCAGAAGGAAGGAGAGAGGGGCTCACCTCCACGTTCCAGACGTAGGAGCTATGGAAGAGCTCTGACCACATCTTGCTCACTTTGTTGATGTCCTTGACATTCCAGATGTAGATACTGTGGTCTTTATACACACAGGACAGCCACTGGTTGGTTGGGTCAAAGGTCAGCGCCACCGTATCTGGGTATATTGCTTCTGCCTTCCTGCGGAAGAGGAAACTAACAAGGCCGCAGGGTCATCCATCACCATCAATGTCCTTGTAAGTGGTGACATCCAGCTGCCTCTTGCCTGATGTTTGTAGCTGTTCATCTCTCCCACTCCACTCCTTCTTCCCTCCCCCTTTGTTTTCTTCCTAACACAGAGGTTGAAAACTGGACGCTTGGGTCTAATGTCAGAGGACATTTTGAATTTTTGACTCCTGTTAACATTTCTCTCCAAGCACGCCACCCAACCCATGTTCCTTTTCTTGTTCTCTGAGCATGAAAGGATCATGAGCATGTACCTCAGGCCTTGTATCTCCTTGACTCTGCCAACACAAACTCTGTGCAGGGAACTAGGGGGCCATCTCCTGGCCCAATGGCTATAATTTACTGAGCACTTCCTGTGTGCTGGCGGGGTTGCAAGCTTTAGCTGTACTGGATTCTCTTAACTACCACAAGAGGTATGTTCTGTATTTTACAGAAGAGGAACTGAAGAACAGGGAGGTACTATAGTGACTTCTCTTAGGCCACACAACACACAACAGAAGTTGACAGAGAGGGGCAGCCTAGATACTGCAACATACCACCATCTATGGGTTGCTTACCACACTCTTTCATTCCTGACACCCAATTGGCCTCTCCAGGTGGTCTACTGGAAAAGGCACCTAGGAGTCAGTGTCCCATGTACCTAGCCCACCCCAGTTAGCGGATTAGACAGCCTCCCCTCCCTACACTAAAGCAAACTTGGGACAAAGGGGAAGCTCTGCCACAGCCCAGCATTCTGCCCATTCTTGACATGCAGCTACAGAGAGCTAATTCTCAAGGCCTATCAATCAGGTAAAAGCAGCATCCAGTGACTTGGGGATAGACTACAAGCTACTCTGTTGACCTCCGTGAATGCTTAGCCTGCCACCATCTTCTCCTAGCACATAAAGGTTAGGTCAGATAGTCTCTATTTCTACATGTCAAACTCAAGTGTGTTGTACCCTTGTCCCCTCTGCCTGGGACCCAGTCTCATCATAGAGTTGGCTCTTCCTCATCAGAGGCTTCCCATCAACACAGCCCCATCTCCCAGGCCTCGTTCTTCCTGACTCCTGCTTTATTTCACCACAGCCCAAAACGATCTTATCTGGCTACCTGTTCATCATCAAGCCCGCTTCATGTGACTGTAGGCCTTACTGTGGAAGAGATTTTGCTGCAGCCTGCTTCCAGGCCAGAGCTAGCACATAGTAGCTGTTTAATAAATGTCTGCCACATGGAAGAACGTATTCCACTATAGTTTGTGCTTGATCTGAGGCTCTTTTCTTCACAGCACATAACACCAACAATCACGATCAGAAATTATTTTGCTTATTCCTTTGTTTAAAGAGCCCCAGCGGTGCAAGTGTTGAATGTTAGGCTGCTGAGGGAAACGACGGTGTTGTGAACTCATCTGGTGGCTCCGTGGCAGACAGACCTGGAGAGCTGTTCCCATAAAGACTGTGCCCTGGGGGGGACGTGGTCAGTGAGTGGAAACTGACTAGCTCACTGGCACCTTCCCACAGCAGCCGCCCTGTGTTTGCCCACTTCCCCTGCCCAATCTGACTTCTCATCCTGTGCTTGCCTCGTTTGCTTTGTTCGTCAATGTCATGCCCAGGACCTTAAACAATCCCTCGTATTTGTAGGATGGACAGAAGTGTAGACAAAGGCGGAAGCATGGACAGATGCCAGCAGACAGCCTCTGAACAGGGCCCTCCCCCCATTGGGTAATACCTTGGCTCTAGTCCTTGTGCCACATCCACCCCGAGGTAGTGAGGCTTGGGCAGGTTGGCAAGGTAGTGTAGACTGTGGGCCTGGAAGATGCGGACTATCCCATCGGTGCAACCACAGAAGATGAGCTCCTGGCTGACACAAAGGCAAGACGACAGGGAAACCTGGGGGAGTAAAAGGGGTCCGAGTGAACTGCTGCTTCATGTGGCCTGGCCCAAGGATGTGGGCCTGACAGAGAAGCCTTGGGCCTAGGCCGAAGCCTTATAATTCCTTGTGTCTGACTACTTCATCTTTTTTTTTCTTCCTTTAGTAAAGCAAGCAAGGTTTAATGTCAATCAGAGATTTAAGAAGCCCATCATAATATACTTTCAAGACATCTGAAGTCAAGAGATACGTGACTATTGAAAGAACTATGTCAGTGGACAGAGCCATGAGGGGACGGAGTTATCCAAGCTGTCTGCTGAGGCGCTCAGCTGTGGACCGAGAGCATCTCTACAGCAGACTGCTACTTCTGTGGTTACAGGCCACTTGCAGTAGGAGTGTTGAATTTTATCTTGAATTGTACTCTGATTGCTTCAAAATGACTTCTGAAAGATGCTTTCAAAGCAGAACAGAAAAAAGGACCTCCAGAGTGCAGCTATTGGTCTCTCCATATGTGGAGGTAAGAAGAGTGATAAGAACTGAACAGGGTTGCAATCAATGAGTCCAGTGGGCTATTGGGACATGTGAACATCAATGAGTCCAGTGGGCTAT